ATATTATAAAATGAAATATCAAATCCGGGTGTTTACTTACTTGTGTGTTGTTGAAACTAGGCGGATTCGAGACAGATTCTAAGCATACTGGCTACAGGAACATAAGATCTTTTGTAACTGAATGACGCATATAGCGTCATATACCCAGTGGCATTACATAATGGGCAATGAACACAGACGTTTCTTTACTGTGGCTAGGCAAAGCCTCAGTGTGCCGCGTGTGAATGCGATTATCAAATTAATCTTCATATCTCTGGCTTCAAGTTTGAAAACCGAAGTAAAAAAAGAAAAAAAAAGTAGGGGCTTGAAAAGATAAGGGAGATTTCAAAAACAGTAAGTGTAAATAGGAGAAAATTTGGAGGTCCTGCCAGCGATGTGGTTACAGAGCTGATGTTTGTGTGTCCGGGTCAGTTAACAACGCTTCAGAAGTAGGGGTCAGTGATAGTGTACACAAGTAATAGTTGCAAGAGTACAGATTTAATGTACATCGTTGTGTGCGTTTTCTGTCACGCAGCTCGTGTACACATTACTAGTAATGCGGATTGGCTCATTCAACTGGCCACGTGACCACTGTGGGGTCTAACATGTTGATCAGTTTACAGTTCTTACTGCTGCTGTTATTGTTCTTGCTTTATGATGACGCTATTGTCGCGCCTGGGTTATACATCAGCAGGACATGAATGATACAGGCATTGAGGAGGACTCATTGGAACAAAATGCCAGGGACCGTGTTGTGTGGAAAGGGCAAATCAGGAAAGTAATGAGAATGAAGAAATGATTATAGAAAGGATGGAAGCTGAGTGTTTGAGAAGAAAAATACTGAACACAAAATGTGACAACAACGGTCCTGAAATCCCATGCTCTAATTGTGGAAGACTGTTCTTAACGCAGGCGGGTCTTGCTAGTCATACTCGCCATCGCCATGGGCTGTAAGTCCCATGTCTCCTCATAGAGCAATATGACATTATCGTCTGGGAAGAGGGAAAGGTGCAATTCATCATCATCATCATGTTTGAAATAAGAACATGATGCTTCAAGAGGGCTTTTTGTCACTTTCATTATTGTTGCAGACTATAAACTAGGTTATGAAGACGGCAAAAACTAATAATCAAGTTGACTTTCTATGCTGCTTGATGGTATCAATATCACTGACGTCATTGCCTTCTGGCCCCACTCAGAATCATGTGAAAGATACCTTAGATACACCTGATGGTAGGTCCCAAAAATTATGTCTAAAGTTATATAGTGGAAGGATAAATGTATATGACTCAATTAGGCAAACCATATGAAGACTTGGTGTGGGTTCGTTGAGAGGCTATGCTACATTGTGGGGCTGGGGGTGGGGTTAGAGGGTAGGAAATAGAAGAAATCATGCATGTGATAGCTGAATCTGTCTCAAACACACAGTCACACACCTAGACACATAGTCACACAGTAACACACATAGTCACGCAGTCACACACACAGTCACACATACACATAGACGCACAGACAGACAGATAGATAGCGAACTGGAAACTGACATATGTAGGAAATACACCAGCACCTTACCTATCCCTAATGGCCAGGTTTGCTGTTTAGTTTGTTCGTAGTTCTAAAGCCGCAGAAATGTATGATTTTCCCCAAAATTGGTTTGGCTAAACAAAAACAATATTGGTGCTGTTGACTGTTGAGCAGGTTCAAAGCACTGGATGACGTCTGTGCTGTGCCAAGGATTGACTTGGCGAATTAACAGACAGCACCTCACATGGGATCCACACGGTGCTGTGATTTCAGGAAAACTAGTTGCTTTTGTAACTGACACAGCTGCTCGTCTGTGCAATGGTCTGTGAATGCCATCAAACATCTTGCAGTCCGTCACGTGTGCAACAGTCTCAATATCGAGGCATCATCTTTTGAGTAGTCGCAGTTGAATTATTCTTTGGCTTTCTTGAACTATTATTCCTGTCTGGATACATATACAATAGGCGCAGGCTGTATCAAAGAACATTGCATTCAAATATTTACTTAACAAGTGCGACCCAATGGAGAAAAAAAGAAAACAGACACACCTTTGATTAGACTGGCGTTACTAGCACCTCTAGCGTAGAGGGACATTTGTTCAACACAAAATGAAGTTTGAAGTTTGAGGTTTGAACAACGGATCAACATTATGTCAAACGGGTAGTAACCCATAAGTGCTCCATTCTTCTTCTAACTCAAGTCTGAATCCGAAGAAGCTCAACACAGTGCACCGGCTCTGTAGCACCGGCGAGAATCCTGATTTACTTTGGGTAGATTTGTAACTCAAAATTGTGCCCAGGCTGTGCCGTTAGGCTGCTCTTTTCGATTTCCAACTGCCAAGGGATTTTTTTACGTGCGGAACAGTGCACAAGAGCGTCCGATCTCACTACCCAGAGACCCGGAGAAATTACTAAAAGTCAAAGCCCACGTATAAAAATCCAAACCTTTACCTGGGATTGAACCCGGAACCTTTAACACTCGAGGCGGACACTAGGCATCAAGACCACGCAACCCCCAACAGAAAATAAAAATACTTGCAACATAAGTTTTCAAGACAGCAAAACCCCTTAATTATAATAGTAGCTGGCAAACAATATTTTCTCTAATTTGCTTGTTGTAAAAAAGCGCATTTTGCTCTCATTTTTCACTGTTTACTGTTGCGTCTCTAATATAATTGTTACTGAAAGTAAAATATCTACCTTGAAACATTCGGACGTGTGTATATTGACACATATAATTTGAACTGAACGCATCAAAACATGACATGTAATGTTGATTGTGTGAGAAACTTGATACTCCGTGCATGCTCGGACTGAAACATATACAAATTTGCTTGGTAGCCTTCTGTTGCTAAGTAATTTATAGTTAGTAATATAGAATAGGATGTATTTCATCACGTCGCTACATCAAGTTTGACAATGTAAGTTTTCATTCAGTTTGTGTGTGTGCGCGCGCGTGTGTGTGTATGCGTATGTGTGTGTTTGTGTGTGTGTGTGTATGTGTGTGTGTGAGTATGTGTGTTTGTGTTAGGTTAAGTTTTGTCTGTTTCCTGTCCACGCTTTGAACATGCCATCATCACAAGTGAAGACAACCTATAGTTTCACTTATTACCAGTCTCTACAGCTAATTGATGAGGCTCGCTGAAGGCGTGGGTTCGGTCCCTTCTGTTTAACTTTTGCTGGCGAGTTCAAATGTTTCTTAGCTCTGCGGGTTGTTGAAGGAGACATGGGCGAATAACCGCTGTGCAGAGACCATCCGAACCATTTGAATTAGTTGAAGGTTTGAGGTTTAAACAACGGATCAACATCATGGCACACGGGTAGTAACCTAATAGTGCACCACTCTTTTTCTAACTCAAGTCTGAGTCCGAAGTCTAAGTGCGAAGTCTGAGTCTGTAGAAGCTCAGCATTTTGCACAGGCTTTGTAGCACCGACGAGGATACTGAAATACTTTAAGTAAATTTTAATTCTAAATTTTGCCCGGACAGCGCCGACAGGCTACTCTTTTTTATTTCCAACTGCCAGGGGATTTTTTACATGCGCAGCAATGCACACGGGTTTCCGATCTCATTATCCTGAGACCAAGAAGAAATATTGACCACATCTCCCGTAGAGTGCCAGGTCTGTATAAATGTAGGTCCAGTACTATATGCCGAAAGAGAAAATAGCATGAAAGAGCCGTTTACTTTCTTAACATAGAGGCTAAATCTTCTTCAGTCTGCCCGGTACTGCTGTTTTGATAGTGAGTTTACAATGTGGGACTGCATATTCCTATAAGTTAATTTCTGTAACTGACAGGGTACTAGTTCGTGTCTGCTAGGTTATTTGTACACATATGGAATAGAACTGCCAGTAGGACGAACACCTTTTTTATTGGTGACATGTCGTTGAAAAACCCCCAGCAAAACAAGCACGGTGTGTGCTTTAGCTGTCGTACTGTCGTCGCGTGTATAGCAGCCTGAATAAGAGTCTTGTGTAAGAGTTTGTGCGACTGCCTAGAGTGGTTGTGTATGTGATGTCATGTGCAACTGTTTAAATAGAGATCTGATAGGTCCTGTTGGTTTCGCTGTGTGTGTCCTTGCACTTGGGGTCCTGTTGGTGCCGCTGTGTGTGTCCTTGCACTTGGGGTTCTCACTGGCTAAGAATTTAAGTTATTTGCCGCATTCTCTGAAGTTGAAGGTTGAGGATTTGTTTTACAGATTACCCGTTCCTTTTCAGGTGCAGTCTTTAAGGAGACCTATGTGGACTATTCCTGGAGCTACACAGTTTCTGCTTTTTTTTTGCAGCATTCTCGGCAGGTCCCAGCTGGTCTGCCGTAAGAAATCCTTTTATATGGGATCAATCCCGTTGCCGTCAAGTTGATCTTCTTGACTTTAAACCTTTTAAAATTTCTGCAATATTGTCTGTCAAAATAACGTGGTCCACTGATCCACATTCTGTGTGGATGTCGTCATCTTCTCTTAGGGAACCCTCTGATTCAATCTTTCAGGTGGCAAACTTTCAGGTGGCAAGCTTTTAGGCTGCAAACCCGGAGGAGAAACATTTTTCAGAAGACATTTGTTGGGCACATTGAACTATGACCTGTGTTTCTGGGCAGGCAAGGGCAGTAACCGCTATACCAGTCTGTTCTCTCTGGCCATTAGCAGTATTGCCAGTTCTGAGAACTGACATTCTCTTGTGTGTACTGTGTATATTTGCAATTAAAAAACACATAGACAGCAATGTAAATCGATGTTCCATTATTGTACTGAATACCTACAGGTAACAAACACATAGACATTAGGGACTGATGTTTTCTTGTGTGTGCTGCATACTTGCAGGTAACAAACACACAGACAGAAACTGGAATAATTATTCTCTTATATGTTCTGTATACTTGCAGGTAACAACCACAAGGCAATGGGAATTTATGTTCTATTGTATGTACTGTACACTTGCACGTAACAACCACATGGCAATGGGAAATGATGTTATCTTGTATGTACTGTATACTTTCAGGTAACAAACACAGAGACAACATATGTCACGAACACAGCTTGTCTGATAACACCAGCAACAGTTTCTCTGCCAATAACATCAAGAAACAAGCCAGTGAATCCCCACATGTTGGAGCCTCCGTGTTTCCGCAAACTTCCTTCAGGTAGGAATCTCAAGTAGAACTGTAACATCAGCTCCAGACTTTACTGATTACCAGAGATTATCTATCTATCTATCTATCTATCTATCTATCTATCTATCTATCTATCTATCTATCTATCTATCTATCTATCTATCTATCTATCTATCTATCTATCTATCTATCTATCTATCTATCTATCTATCTATCTATCTATCTATCTATCTATCTATCTATCTATCTATCTATCTGTCTGTCTGTCTGTCTGTCTGTCTGTCTGTCTGTCTGTCTGTCTGTCTGTCTGTCTGTCTGTCTGTCTGTCTGTCTGTCTGTCTGTCTGTCTGTCTGTCTGTCTGTCTGTCTGTCTGTCTGTCTGTCTGTCTGTCTGTCTGTCTGTCTGTCTGTCTGTCTGTCTGTCTGTCTGTCTGTCTGTCTGTCTGTCTGTCTGTCTGTCTGTCTGTCTGTCTGTCTGTCTGTCTGTCTGTCTGTCCTGTCTGTCTGTCTGTCTGTCTGTCTGTCTGTCTGTCTGTCTGTCTGTCTGTCTGTCTGTCTGTCTGTCTGTCTGTCTGTCTGTCTGTCTGTCTGTCTGTCTGTCTGTCTGTCTGTCTGTCTGTCTGTCTGTCTGTCTGTCTGTCTGTCTGTCTGTCTGTCTGTCTGTCTGTCTGTCTGTCTGTCTGTCTGTCTGTCTGTCTGTCTGTCTGTCTGTCTGTCTGTCTGTCTGTCTGTCTGTCTGTCTGTCTGTCTGTCTGTCTGAGTGTCTGTCTGTCTGTGTCTGTCTGTCTGTCTGTCTGTCTGTCTGTCTGTCTGTCTGTCTGTCTGTCTGTCTGTCTGTCTGTCTCTCTCTCTCTCTATCTGTCTGTCTCTCTCTCTATCTATCTATCTATCTATCTATCTATCTATCTATCTATCTATCTATCTATCTTAGATATAAACTAATTTTTTTCAAATTTTTCTTCTCCTATTATTCATTATGAAATGATGTACAAATGTACATCTGTCTGTCTGTCTGTCTGTCTGTCGATTATTCAGTTTGTCCGTCCGTCTGCCGGTCCGTGCGTCCGCCCGTCCATCTGTCTGTCTGTCGATCATTCAATCATTCCCGTGTGGGTTCCGGGGCCCTACTATAGGAAAAACAAGAATAGACCCACTGCCTACCCAAAAGCATGTCGTAAGAGTCGACTAATCAGGAGCTTCCTTCGAAGTCGGAGTGCATCTGCCGGAGAGGCAAGGAACCAACAGTCTGCATACAGATCTGTCAAACGGATGAACACGCAACACTCAGGTTCTGGAACAGGACTGAAAGTCCAGATGTGAATGAACAACCAAAACTTTCCGCCAGAGTTTACAGCCGGTAAAGGAGAAGACGAAGATTATTCAGTCTGTCTGTCTGTCTGTGGCACTACAAAACGGTTGCGAAGTAATCTGTAGTTCAATGTGGGTCGGTTAGTTTTAAACTTCGAGGTGAACTGAACTTAACTGAATTTCTAACCCACCAGGACATCACACAAGCGATAAACACCCGATGACACAAAGTGCCACCATGTGGATGAGGATCGCCGTGGAGAGGTCCCAGAAACCGCGTTCAGACATTTGGCCATATATGGCCTGCCTATATTGCGGCCCCCGGCAAAAGCCAGAGTAGGGCTCCAAATGACAAAAAATTTCGTCCTAAGAAGGACAAAGTTACAATAAACTTCGAAGTGAATGAATGAATGAATGAATTTCTACCCCACTAGGACATCACACAAGCGATAAACACCCGATGACACAAAGTGCCACCATGCGGATGAAGATCGCCGTGGAGAGGTCCCAGAAACCGCGTTCAGACATTTGGCCATAATATGGCCTGCCTGTATTACGGCCCCTGGCAAAAGCCAGAGTAGGGCTTCAAATGACAAAAAATTTCGTCCTAAAAAGGACGAAATTGTAGAATATTAATTGTTCGAATAAGGTTTTTTCAAGCTTTTGAAAAATCGAATATTTATTTGGCGGCTCTACATATGCCGGGTGCATTTTGCTTTCCGAAAGAAGAACTTCGAGGTCTGACTGACTGACTTTCTACCCCCCAGGACATCACACAAGCGATAAACACCCGATGACACAAAGTGCCACCATGCGGATGAGGATCACCGTGGAGAGGTCCCAGAAACCGCGTTCAGACAATTGGCCATTTTGATGGCCTGCCTATATTGCGGCCCCTGGCAAAAGCCAGAGTGGGGCTTCAAATAACAAAAAAATACGTCCCAAAAAGGACGGAAGTGAAATAATTCGAGGTACTCAGTGCACCATTTTACCCAGCCTTCCCCGCTGAAGACAAATGTGCTGTTCTCTCTTGTACCCGGTTTGTCTCTCAGGCCATTTATTATATTTCTGGTGCTAAGTACAGAGACACAAACTTCGACAAACAGTGAAGAATTTCGTACAAGTTGATCCACAATCTTGGCCTTGGCAGTTTTAATGTTTAGCAAGGTCGAACAATTTGGTTGTAAATAAATATTCTCACAAAGTATGGGAAGTAACTCCATTTAAAGTAAGATGTATCACATTGTCAGAAATTATTATTTCCCTTATGAAATCTCGGCAAGCGGTGGAGCTAGTTTCTGTACCTCTGCCACTTTTCCCTGTAATTTCAACAGGGCTCCAACCGACATTCCAAACTACTGTAGAAGTTATGTAGTTTATAATAATACAAATGTATTACTTAAAAAAAAAATTATTGTAGTGTTGAGACAATAAAGATTAATCCTAGGAAATTCAACAGATCATTTTCCTGCTGTGGCAATATAGGACGCCATTGGTAAATGGGGGAAGGGGGTAGGGCGGCTATCGTCGGTGACCCTAATATAAGCGAACGGGGTTTCCAGGACTTGCGCCAATACGATTCTCATCCGCATGGTGGCGCTTTGTGTCACCTAGTGTTTAACACTGGTTCTGCCGTTTTGGGCGGTATTTTTACAGCACATTTCAACTGAAATTCAAGTTAGCACTGAAGTTGCGCCAGACAATATCTCAGCCAAACGTTTAGGTTCTAGTAGATTTAAAATCTTCTGAACATAATCAGTCGTAAACAACAGGCAGTCGTCAGTGTGTAGAGGAGGGGGTAACAACAAAAGAGGAGGAGGATAAATATGAAGCACATGCACAAGTAAAAGAAGAAGAAGGTAGACAACGAAATTAACGAGGATAGTAATAAGAGCCTTGTACTGCTTACAGAATTGACTTACATATAAAACCTAATCATATATAGTTTATTGTCAAATTACTAGTTTCAGAACTTTGAAATGACACAGTTGTTTCCCCTTGTGCAGCTCAATGCCATCAAGAGACATGCGACTGACTAGCCCCTCTACAGCCAGTGATTCCAGCCCAGGCGCCAGATGGAGTGCACCCCCAGCTGCAGACCACAGCGGCCATCCCCCAGCAAGCAAGAAGTTTTCCTCTCCGGCCGCCATGGATCAGGATGGACCACTGAATTTATCAAAACCAAGATCTCAGGTTTGTCTGACCCACTGGACTCTGTATGTGTTTGTGTAATTGGATTTTACCAGACCATTAGTTGTGTGTTATATGACATCTCGTCCTTTTTAGGATGTAATTTTTTGCCAGGGGCCGCAAAATAGCCTGGCTATAAATATTGCCTAAAGGCTGAACGCAGTTTCTGGGACCTCTCCACGGTGATCCTCACCCACATGGTGGCACTTTGTGTCATCAGGTGTTTATCGCTTGCATGATGTCCTGGTGGGGTAGAAAGTCAGGCGGTCAGTCTGTAACTGGATGTTCATTGTCTGCGATATTTTTGTGTGGTTTCCTTCACCTTTTAAATTATTCCTTGTCACTGATTGACAGTATCGACCTTACGGCACTCAGTACAAGTACATAAGTGGTCAGTCTCCTGTAGCATATATTAAAAGACTTATAAAAACTGACTACCCTCGTCACCATTGCATGGGCACACATGTAACATGCACACTAGTTAGCATGCTGGTATGGCAGTAGCTAGACGCTGCCTGTATAAACGAAGGTCCTCGTTTCAACTCTAAATCAAGGTGGAAATTTCTGATGTACATAGAGCTCTCTGGTTGCCCCATCATAACCTGAGTACCAAGAAATGTCATTTGCAGCAAATAACTGCTAACAGTATCACATTTGTTGAGATAGGGCGTGAAGAAGTTGGGGATATCTCTCAACAAACATATCACTATAATTGTCACTAGTCAACCACAGGACAATATCGTATCTTAGGGTACAATTTAGCGCTCTCCACTAGTGGTAGGCAAGTTCACAGAAATGTACAAACAGGTATTGTTTTATCAATGTACTTAGTAGTTTAATTGTACAGTCTGATGATGTATGTTGTGCATCGAACTGCTAACGTAAATCGCATGAACGTTTTGTACGATGACTGTGTCCTTGAAGGGACTTGAATCTACCAGAGTAATGACACAGAGAATCGTTTGTGTGCAGACTCTCCTCTCTGCCTGGAACCGAAATACTATCTCCGTGGGTTCTGTGCTTCAGAGATCCGTGTCCCTCCTCCAAGCTCAGAAAGCAGCGTAAGATCAGTTGAGCAGAGGCCTTCAAATCTGGAGAGAGGACTTCACATCTGGGCAGAGGCCTTCAAATATGGAGAGAGGTCTTCACATCTGAGCAGAGGGCTTCAAATATGAAGAGAGGACTTCACATCTGGGCAGAGTGCTTCAAATCTGAAGAGAGACCTTCAAGTCTGGAGTGAGGCCTGTACATCTGGACAGAAGCCTTTCCTAGACCGCCCCAGTCTGTGAATGTGCACTAATTTCTTGGCCATTTTGAGACCATGTTCTGTCGTCATAGCAACAGTCTTTCTCAAAAATGGATAACAAGTGACAGCTTAGCCCCATCGGTGACAAATCCCAGTATCATCGTATCCATTTGTCTATCTATTCGCGCGCGTCTGTCTGTCTGTCTGTCTGTCTGTGCGTGCGTGCGTATGAATGTGTGTATGTTTGTATGTAATGTGTGTAATGTGTGTAATGCGTGTAATGTGTGTAATGTGTGTATGTATGTATGTATGTATGTATGTATGTATGTATGTATGTATGTATGTATGTATTTATGTATGTCGGTCGGTCGGTCGGTTGGTCGATCGGTAGGTAGGTATGTATGTATGTATGTAAGTGTTTCTGTGTGGAGAGAGAGAGAGAGAGAGAGAGAGAGAGAGAGAGAGAGAGAGAGATTCATATAATTACATGCAACCAACAACAATATACAGACATATTCTATATCTGAGTGTATACCAAAGTCATTAACTCTATCCCACAGAGCAAGCTTGGACATCCATCAGGAGACAGTTCACATAACCGAGCTGACCTCAACGACCTTACTCGAGGCCTCAAGCGTGAAGCCAATACCCCTCCGCCCGCCCACGCCAATCATGGAAAGAGACCCGTGTCTAGCAACGCCAGTCCTGTGACAATCATCCCGACCTCTCTCCATTCTGGAATGCCAAATCTCCTTCCTCCGCACCAACAGTCTCCTCTCCACACCACATCCCCAACACCTTCATCAACACCTGGACCCACCTCTGTCTCCGATGTCCCCATACTAGCTGCCTTGAGACACAATCCCTTTGGACTGCCAGCTCAGTATGTTACCAATCCATTCCTGTCTCTGTCGTCCAATTTTCCCCTGGGCGGACTGGCAGCATTGACATCCAACCATCCAGGAATGAATGGAACCTCATCGCCTTCGGATTCTGAAAAGGTAATGGTCGTAAGTACTTGCTACGATTTTGATTGTGTGGATTCGGTCTGTGATAGTTTCAGAATAACAGTGGTCTTGACATTCATCATCAGTCAGCAAGTCCTTTATAGAACGTCGCTCTCTTCACGGCACGCCTGAAAGTATCCCTTTCTCTAGCCAGCTCTCCAGCCCCATGTGCTTTCAGTGCCAATGCATCTTCAATGTCTTGTATCCATCTTCACGATGGTTGACCCCTGTCTCGCCTTCCATAAACTGCACCTTCCATCACTGTCTTTTTCAAGCCACCATGCCGCCTGATGTGGCCAAAATACTTTAACTTTCGGGACAGGATGCTGTTTATGAGCCAGTTCTCCTTGATGTTCAGCTCGTTCAGAATGTCGATATTTTTCCTCTTCATGATCCATGGTATTCTAAGAATTTTTCTATAGCATTTCATTTTTAAAACTCCAATCTTTTTCCTCTATTACTGAGTGAGAGTCCAAGACTCACAACCATAGATTGCCACAGGAAAAATGCATGATCTCAAGATTTTTACTTCAACCAATTTACTAGTGCTTTGCCATAGGTTCTTCATGTTATTTAATCTCAGCATTGAAATTAATGATGTGCTATATTTATGTGTAGTCCTTGACAAGATGATGTAGGACATCTATGACTTGACTAGATGATATCGGTCATCTGTGTGTAGGACATCTATGACTTGACTAGATGATATAGGTCATCTGTGTGTAGGACATCTATGACTTGACTAGATGATATCGGTCATCTGTGTGTAGGACATCTATGACTTGACTGGATGAAATCGGTCATCTGTGTGTAGGACATCTTTTATAGATAGTTACTGTACATCCAAACGTGTGTGTATTGATGTGTATGTTTGTTGTTACATCTATTCGTTGTCTTTAAATATATGTTGTTTCATTTATGAGTAATCCTTGAATGGAGTGGAACAATAGCGGGCAATTGACTTCGAATCTTCACGTAGTGGATTTGTATTTAAAAAAGAAGTTGATCTTGGTTCCAGTATTGACCCAACCTGGAATAAACAACACAGTGTATCCTATCAGATGCTAGACTGTTGCATCTACGAGTCGTCCTGTGGCTTCTCTCCTCCCCCCCCCCCCCCCCCCCCCCCCCCCCCCCCCCCCCGGGAAAGAAATGGGTGCCAGTACTCACCACAGTGTCTAAAACAGGTGCCGGTAATAACCACAAAGTGTCTAAAACAAGTGCCGGTACTAACCACAAAGTGTCTAAAACAGGTGCCGGTACTAACAACCACTAGGTGTCTAAAACAGGTGCCCGTACTAACCACAAAGTGTCTAAAACAAGTGATGATACTTACCACAAAATGTCTAAAACAGGTGCCGGTAGTAACCACAAGGTGCCTAAAACAAGTGACGATACTTACCACAAAGTGTCTAAAACAGGTGCCGGTAGTAACCACAAGGTGCCTAAAACAAGTGACGATACTTACCACAAAGTGTCTAAAACAGGTGCCGGTAGTAACCACAAAGTGTCTATTACAGGAAAGCTCAACAAAATTTACAAAACGGTGCCGGTGATGCGTACCGCACGGGAAAGCATGTCCTGAGTTGTCCTTGAATAGATCGTGTTACATTTATGAGCAGTCATCGAATGTTTACTGTTTACGTGTACATCATTGAGTTGATGATGTGAGGGCCAGGAGTTTTTCTTGAAGATATCCATATGTTTGTAGATTGAGACCTCTTGGTCAGTGTGACAAAGTTTACTCACTGGGAGACAGCAGTTGCTATTTTTGTCAACCATAGCTCATCATGAACATTAAGGGACTAGTTATTTAACTACATGTTCACTGGCAGGCCTTTGTGTTGTTTGTGAGGTTATATTTTATCTGCAGAAGTAAACGACCCTTTTCTTATTCGTGGTATAATGGAATTATGATGCTAGACTCTGACTTGATAGACCTGTCAGTGTTTGTTAGATGATGTGGCCAGCATCGTGCCGGCCGCCTTTACTTCACAGGACATAGCCAATCTGAGGTTGAACCGACCTGGGAGCCAAGGTCATTCTTTTTTTTTTAAATCACAAATCCGCTTGGTGAGGATTCAAACCCAAAACCCGCAGTCCAACAGGAGAGCGTCTGGCTTCTGCTCTGCTGCAGATTTCATAAGAATTCGCTGGTTATATACTAATTATATGTTCTCTAACAGACCTTATGCGTTGTGTGTGGGTGTTTGTGTGTGTTTGTGTATGTGTGTTTACTTGCTAGATAGTTTTTTTTTGCTATACTAGTTTGTTCGTGCCGAGACCTGTTATTAACTGTGTAATTATTATTTTCCTTAGGAATGCTCTCACTGTAGTTTTGTAATTGCTAGAGAAACCATTTTTTTTTTTCATCAAAGCACTACAGTTAGTTACTTGTGAAATTCCTGCGAGAAATACGCTCTAATGACCGTGTCTAACACGTAGTATATTGTTTTACTCCATGAGCAGTTCATGTACCTCCACTCGCAGGAGAGTTACGTCCAGGAGCTCTTGGCCCGGCAGATGGCAGCCAGCGTCAGTGCTCCTGTGTTCCCTGGGCTGGGTGCCCACTTCCCCATGTACGCCTCCAGTCCTGCTCCGTCCCTGCCTCCCATGGCCCAGATGCCAGGGGGCAAGGATTCGGGAGCCCCTATGCCTTCCAGCTCCGACGACAACCAGAGTAGCTATGTTCAGCATTTGCAAAGTAAGTCTGGATCAGTGTTGGAGAATTTATAAATCATTGTTGGAGAATGTATAAATCATTGTTTGAGAATTTATAAATCATTGTTTGAGAATTTATAAATCTTTGTTTGAGAATTTATAAATCATTGTTTGAGAATTTATAAATCAGTGTGTGCGAACATGTGAATTAGGTTTGAGATTTATAGTTACACTGCTAAGGATTTATAATTTCCTGTGTGAAAATGAACCGTCTGAATGTAAAAGTCATTGTGTGATTCTCTGATTCACTTGTCTAAAGTTTTTGTTTTGTCGCCTCTCAGGCTACACCTCAGATGACATAATATGAAAATACTGGAATACAGCAAATGACTTTTTTTTTTTTTTTTACTAAATTGGAATATAGGACATTGCACATGAAGTAACTCATTGTCTTTTGTATCCTTCCATTGAAAAGATTACTTTTGTTGTACCCATATGTATGTATGTGTGTGTGCGCGCGCGAGTGTTTGTGCACGTGTCCATGAACCATAGTGAGAGTAATTATCATTGTATCCTTCAGTATCATTAAACAATCTATTTACGGATCGTGGTTTTCATCACAGCAGGCTGGAAAACCGCCCAGTCCCTGACAACCTCCCCGCCTCTTGAACATTCATGCCTAGGGTGTTCTTGATATCCTGTTTCCACCGATGTGCTGGTCTACCCCTGCCTCTGCATTATGAGCATCCATACCCTTTCCTGTGTGGACTTCCGGTTACCTCCTAATTGCCGGGGGCCCCAATTTAACCTAGTGGTTGAACGGGGGTGTCTGGGGTTTGTACCTAGGGGATTTCGCATCTGAATACTGGCGCTTTGCATCTGGCGCCACGGGATGTTAATCGCCCAGTGTCCTGTCTTTGTGCGGTTTATCTTCATACGAGGAACTATACTTTCCATGACTGCTCTCGCCAACCCATTCTGACGTTTACTGTTATTTGTCAGTTTGTAAGAAACTATTCTGTTTGTGAGCCTGTTCCCCTATATGAATGTACGATATATATTCCGATATAATCCCGTTAAGTTCTTAAAGTATATTTATAGTTCTATTCCCCAACCCTCATCCCTCATAACTATATTCTCTTTTACAGCCCTAGATAAGTATATTTTGATTGCCCCCACAGATAAAATGTTTGGTGCTAAAATCATTCGAGCTCAGAGGGACAAGTCGGACCCCGGCCGCCCCCACATCAAGCGACCCATGAACGCATTTATGGTGTGGGCCCGGGAGGAAAGGAGAAAGATACTCAAGGCCTGCCCAGATATGCACAATTCAAATATCAGTAAGATTCTAGGTAAGCTAACTTCTCCTCATGCTCATACAACAGTCATCTTTGAACAAGGTGTTTGAACGTATTTATCATTGGTCACTCAGCGAATGTCTCCACTGTGAAGGTTGGGTGTAACTCATCTCCTACAGTGTTCTCTCGTCTAGTTTGTACAATCTCTTAGACAAATGCCCATCGATCACTTGATGTTATCCTCCCATTTGTGTCACTTTTCACCTCTTTGCCGTCTTCCTTCTTTTTTTTTTCTTCTTTTTTCTATCTAGAATCTGGTATGGTATTTGTAAGAGTGTTGTATCTATTAATACGGATGAAATATATCACTTGCAGTTTTTATTATCTCATTCAAAATTCTGATTCTATTCTCAGCCTATCCAGATGGTCCGTACTTAAGTGGTTTTGTTTCTATGAAATATACCACCCATTGATCCATTTTTGTGTGTATCCACATCTCTGGAACCACGGTGATACATTCTAACTGATACTATTGTCACCAGATATTTATCTCAGATACAGTGATTTCCTCAGAAATATTCTTGGTCATACACATGTAAAAGTGACATTCCATGTGGAGCCCTATGCCGACCGCTCTACAACAATGACTCTAGCAAGACATACCCGATGTGCCACTACAATTGTTCTTTACTTTTACCCCTTATTTTTATTGATTTAAAAAAAAAAAAAAAACTTACTATACACTCACTTTTTGCTCCTGGCGAAATACTCTAATTGTTCTTTCATTCTCTTCAATCTATTTCTTCAGCTTTCTCCGGTGAATATTAATCCTTTGGGGAATTCTTCAGGCAAACTTAAACAGCATAATTAATAAATGTGCATGCATTTGTTCACAGACGGTAACCATCAGAGACATTGTGGAAAGTTCAACTGTCAGGCAGATTATGGGAGCAATACTCGCCAAAAAATGTACTGATAGGCAGAAGATCAAACAGTTAGTCTCTTGTTAAAACAAGGCCACTGTTAAAAGTAAAAGTAAAGATCATTTTTCACGCCTTACACGCATAGGGCAAATGGGAAGAGCGTCCCATATTTTTACAGACCATTCGGCATTGGATGGGTAATAGCATTACGCCAGCTGTCTTTACTTTCCCAGGACAGCCATCCTGGTTACCATTTTAGGCTTGGTCGACCTGCGACTCCCCATACCTTGATAAAAATCCACGCAACCAGCAGTGGGTTTTGTTCGCGGTACTTGGATTACGAGTCGGACTCGCAACGCCTAAGCCATTGACGCCGCCAGGCACAGTTACCAACACTATAATACTGCTCTACCCTCAAATGATCTGAAGTTAGCGCAAAAAGTCGTCCCAAGGATAAATGGAATAATGACATTACAGACAGTATGCATTCACAGGGACTGACAATAGCTGAAGCTACAAATCCAACTGTTCCTTCCCACAATAAGTAACGTTAAAAGTGGATGTTGATGTTGATGAATTTCGAGAAGGATATTCAGTCAGTGAGTGAGATTCCATCCCATATGACATTACACAAGCGATAAACACCAGGTGATGAAAAGTCGCCATGCGGGTGAGGATCACCCGTGGAGAGGTCCCAAAAAACCCGTTCACCCGTTAGGTTATATTAAGGCCCCAGTAACAACCAGGGTGGGGCTTTGAAACACACAAAAACTACGTCCGACATTGAGACGCGGTGGTTAATATAGTGCAGTCAGACTAACCGACTGACTGTGTACCCCACCAGGACGTCACATCGAGCGATAAACACCCGGTGACACAAAGTGCCACCTTTCAGATGAGGATCACCACTGGAGAGGTCACAGAATCTTCATTCAACCGTCAGATTATATTAGGATCCCCGGCAATCTTTGCAAAAAATGTATGTACATAACCGTATATAAATATATTATTCGACTGACTAGAATTAGCTAAAATCAACAAACAATATCTCTCAGTTCAAGCACTTGGTGCTTGTACTGAGCTAATTACAATAATGAAGCTGTCAAAAATATTGCCAGGTGCCAAATGGAAAAGTATGTCAAATGCGGACAAACAGCCTTACTACGAGGAGCAGTCAAGACTGAGCAAGTTGCACATGGAAAAGCATCCAGACTACAGATACAGGTAACCACCATTACTAACAGTCATTCAATCATTGTTCGTCTGCCCCGGCTGGCTCGTTTCTGATTGTCTTCACCGTTTTAGTTTTGATGTTTGTAATATTTTTTTTATTTTTTATTTTATTTTAATGCTTAGTTTTTCAGCTTTTTTTATTTAATTCTTTTGGAGACGTTTCCAAATTTTTCAGCAAAAACTAAATCGAACATTAAGTTGTTACATTCTATATTTGTTTTATTTTTAGTAGCTTTTTTTAAACAAAATTGGTGGCTTAGGCTTGTAGCAGAACTAGCAGTTAGAACTGTCTTTGTTGACTTTCTAGTGGGCCACTGCCAAGTGCCATTTCTGCTTTCTGTACCATCGCTGCATCTAGAGGAGCTGCGCAAACAACAGACAGCTTACTGTAGTACAGCCCGCAGCTTCACAAACGATATGTGATCATTGCCCAACAGAGTAGCCGCATCACTTCATTCCGATCGTTCTAGTGCCTCCTGCAATTAAAAAAATAGCAGTCCCGCAACTCAGTTCATCTTTTTAGAACTATGCAATACGCTTTGAAGTCATATTTTAAAATTACACACACACACACACAAACACACACACACAGAGAGAGAGAGAGAGAGAGAGAGAGAGAGAGAGAGAGAGAGAGAGAGAGAGAGAGAGAGAGAGAGAGAGAGAGAGAGAGAGAGACAAAATAACATAACACGTTTATGTTAAGAAAGAAAGTCAGCAGCAGTTAACAATAATGAATATATATTATATGTTGGTGTATTCTGATTTCTCCATTTAAACCCAATTACCTGGGATACTGATTAGATGGTCGAAAAGTAACTTTTTAGGCCGTCCATGAAACCTTCAGCATTCCACAAGGCACTGTTTGATCACAACATGTTACATAGAATATTTACTTTAGAATAAGTCAAAGGTCAACAGTCACCTCCTGAATTCTCTTTTTTTTTTTTTTTTCACCAATATTTTCTTTCTCATTTTTGAGAGTGTTTAAAATAGTTTATTGCCACATCGCTGTGTATTATACATGTATACAACACTTTGTCACGACTGAACATCTAGCGGACACACGTATACAACACTTTGTCACGACTGAGCATCTAGCGGCCACATGTATACAAAACTTTGTCACTACTGAACATCTAGCGGCCACATGTATACAACACTTTGTCACGACTGAACATCTAGCGGCCACACGTATACAACACTTTGTCACGACTGAACATCTAGCGGCCACATGTATACAAGCGGCCACAAATGTATACAACACTTTGTCACGACTGAACATCTAGCGGACACATGTATACAACACTTTGTCACGACTGAACATCTAGCGGACACACGTATACAACACTTTGTCACGACTGAACATCTAGCGGACACATGTATACAACACTTTGTCACGACTGAACATCTAGCGGACACATGTATACAACACTTTGTCACGAATAAGCATCTAGCGGCCACATGTACACAACACTTTGTCACGACTGAACATATAGTAAACCCATGTATACAACACTTTGTCACGACTGAACATCTAGTGAACCCATGTATACAACACTTTGTCACGACTGAAAAGGTTGGCTTCGTAGAATCATCAAATGAATCATTCTATCCTGTCAACGCTGTTCCATTCTATAGTTTGTATACCCCACCTATTAACTCCCATTGTCGTGTTGTTGTCAGGCGCACAAACACAATTGGTAATGTTATTCCTTTGTCTGAATAGTGTAACAGCTTCTCTACTATTTCTTTGCTGTTTAAAACCTGAATGTGGTTAATCCTGACTGAACACGAATGTTACAGTTTCAATTGTAGTTTTCCCTAGCTTTAGTCAGCTTCTTGTTATGACTATTTCTTCCGTCTTTCTGTATGTATTCAGTCAATATATATTTGAAAGAAAAGCCATATATATATATATATATATATATATATATATATATATATATATATATATATATATATATATATATATATATATATATATATATATATATATATATATATATATATATATATATATATATATATATATATATATATATATATACACCCTTATAGAAAGTTGTAGTCGTCTTTTATCAAACACAGAACTTTCGTGACAATGATTCAAAAGAAAAAAAAATTAGGAACATTTCTTTTGTGTTATATGTCTATTCACATGGTATTGTGACTGAATAGGCCTAAATTCAAATATCTATAGCTTGTGTTTAACACAATCTATCATTTTGGTTTTGTGCAGACTATTTATTCAGAAAAGTATTATGGTCTAGTCTATGATTAAACAATATATTTAGCATCATTGTGTTTGTATATTTAAAGCTGAGAACAGCTGATATGAACATTTTTCTGTCCACCCTAAACAAGCATACAATGCAATGAAAATACTCCCTGCTTCTCAGGCCTCGTCCCAGGAAAAATGGAAAGGTGAAAAAGATGTTTTCAGACATGAAGGGGTCACAGTCCCATGGAGGAATTGACCATGGTCCCCCTCTGGGAACAGCTCTTTCTCTACCCATGGACCACCAGCCTCTAACGATTGGGGCACTCTACCCAAACTTTTATGTGTCCAGCCCTCTGCCTGAACAAAGGTATATTTTAATGGCAATGTTTTTCTTCGTTGGAGTTTGCCTTGCTTTCATCAAATGTATTTCTGCCAGCTGGCATTGCCTAAGTTTGCCAAACCAAACCTTGTGTGTCAGAACATAAAGATCTCCAAATAACCTACCAGACTCCATACAGGAAAAACTAATACGTTTTCTTTCCCACAATATTTTCTTTGCCGGAGTTGTCTTACTGCTTTTTATTATTTCACTGATTGGCTTTGGCTAAAGTGTTATGTTTTAATTTTCCTTTAACTTGCATTTGATATCAGGAATCTCTCGTAAAATGACCTGCTTCACTAAAATCCACACTACAGTTAAGATATTGACCAACTGATTTTATATATTGTAGTCTTAAGGATGATTAACGCAGTTTCACAGTCCTTGAACACTGGGTTTTGAAGTCGGTTGCATACGGTCTAGTTGCAGAGAGCGTTACGTTAATTTCGACAATAGTGTGAGCATGTGCGGTTACGAAAACAGTGGTAAACTGCTCAACCTAAAATTGCCTAGAAAATCTATTAACAGACCATAAAAGCTGCGGCTCTTGTGCAAAGTCCCGAAGAAGGTATGGAACTAACTATGTTTGTGATGATAAAAAGTGTGCCCCACTGTTTCAGTGCTAGTCAGATAAGGGATGTATATCAGTAACCCCCTGGTACTGTATCAGATGGTGTGTGAAACTAGTGGAGTCGAAGTGGTCACGACCTCTGACTGTCCGAATGCGGGAGGGCAATTGAAGAATGTGTGACCCAGAAGTGCCTAGCTGGGATGTATATAGGGTTCACTTGACTTACCCCGACATGCAGAGCTGGATCCACACGACACGTTTCGTCTGAAAGGGTCAATACTACACGAATGCAAGAATCGGATTTAATATGGCGAACAGCCAGGATAATGCAGATGGACATCAACCAGAGAGAATCGACAGTCAGCACCGAACTGGCACACCTAGTTGACGTATGTTGAATGGTTTGTTAAAGAGGATCTGGCAGCGACTAATGGACTTGAGGGGGGCACTTCACGAAAGATCAGTTTCTGTGAACGAAGAATTTAGATTCTTACAGAATAAGGGACATACAGTAGACGGTTTAGCTCATGGCCTGGAGAAGCATCGGTACTGGGAATGACAAGCCGTACACAAGACAGAAGGATGTGCACACAAATAGGTATCACTGCCACAAGGCATGGAAAGTAACAAGAAGGTCTATAATCAACAGTAGAATTACCAGAGCTATAGACATTTTGCGCGTGTAATACAATGGAAAGAATGTATTGGAGAGGATGCACTGAACAGTTAGACAATGCTGAAATGTGAACTAACTGTGACAGCTAGAGACTGGGCAACTACTAGTACAGTAGTATAAGTTGTGAACACATAATATCAACAACTTGTTGTGGTGGTTAAACGCCACATAATGTTAGCAGTCATTTCCCCTTTTCTAGTTCTGTGCCGCATACAGCCAAATATAATGTAGATTATTGTGCAATTTGTATGTGACGCTACAGCGTTAGTGTAAACCTGCCTTCGATGTTTCAGTACCTCAGTTTTCATTTTAGCACAAATGTAGACTACATACTGCATGCTGTTGTGGCTTCATTTAAAAAGCATGCCCCCCCCCCTACCCCCAGCCTCCCGCCCCCCTCCCAATCAATCGAATATAATCGCTTTAGGAAAAGCTGCAGATTTTCTTCAGTTATCTCAAGATATTCGATCAGTGAAACCATTAATCAATGCCTTTAAAGTAACTTACCTAAACCTCACATCTGATAAGCACTGGTATTGGCAGTTAAACATTATTCGACATCTGATTCAATATAAGATAGCATTCTGTAACTTTGGCAGCTAACACAAAAGCTAACAGTTTCATCTCTATCTGTGTGTGACTAATTGTGACCGCCCTAACACGCTTGCTAACTGCTTGTTGCCTCCACAATATGTGTGCCACGTAATCACAGTTTGTTGCTTCCGTTAACTATACTTTTGAATGTTGAAATATATATATATATATATTTGATTTATCATATACAGCTGTTATTAGTAATTGCTCAGTATTGATCTTTACCGCCGCTGGACGGCAGGCTAGTATTGTATGTAACCGTTACGGGTTCCCTAAATGTAACTTCTTGGGAGGTTGAACAAGTTATCTGTGATGTGTCCTGGATTCTATTCTTTGAGGTGCAGGCCTGGTAAAACAAAACCTTGACATAGCAGACTAGAGCGGGGGTGGGGGGCTGAGAACAGGCTGTCACTACCTGTTCGTGAGTATGGTGGTTTGGTTGTGAATATGAGTGTTGTGTTATTCAGTTTACATATTTATGTACAGCGAATTGTTTTCTGGGAATGCTAATTTTCAGCATGGATTTTCTACGTGCAATATAAAACACCTGGTAGCGTAGGTTAGTGCTGCTGCCTACCGAGACAGAGGTCCTTGTTTAAACCCTCATAACCATTGCGGTACACGAGTCTAACTCGCCTCGTACAAACTGACACATGACGATTGGAGAATATTCTGGAAACTGTTTGGGAAGGCAAGGTGACAAGGATATGAACTGACTTAGTAACATTGCCTAGACTATTTGAACCTAGATTATGTGAATTTACTACTTCATACCACTCCGTACTATCTTCTGTCAAGCGATTATTATAGAAAATTTGTTCTACACTAGAAGTTAAGGAAATGTTTTTCTCAACATTACTACAATTGTTCGTCGGCTCTGTGGCTAAGTCGATGCGAAAGCTTCGTAATGCCGGGATGCCGGGTTCGATCCCAGCTGCGGGCCATGCGTCCTTGCGTTGGTTTCGACAGTGGTATCAAGAAAGTCGACCGTCCAGAAGCAATGGCAAAATACTGGACGTAAATTTGCCTAGAAAAACCACACAACAGCCAGGGACTGTTGGGGTTGGTTCTGCAACGTCCTATTAAGGATACCCAACTAACCTTATAATTGTTCGAGGAGAGTAGTTTTAAGAATTACGTATTTTCTGCAATAATTAGCCTTTTATTAGGCTAGTTTGTTTCGGTTTCCAGTCTATGCGGTTGTTAGGTTACCTGTAAAAAAAAAACACATACAACAAGGCTCCTGACATAAAATAGATGGAGGAAGATGTCTTCATGATATCGTACAGCGGATCGCATGAACACAGTATGCTACAGTCTTATCGTGTCAGCATGATACTTGATGGACGTGAAATGAACCATAGCATTGTGATCATAAACTGCAAATATCCAACTTTCCAAGGAATCCGAATAGAAAAAAAAAATAGTTAATCAATTTAATGCCGACCTGCTGATTTCGATGAATATTATTCTATTTAATCAGATGGATGCCCACCTATTTTATTCTACAGAATTGAAGAAAAAGAAGTGAAATTGAGCAACCTTGTGTGAAATTTGTTAAAGTAATTTACTGGAGTTTTTTTTTTTTTTTTACCACTATAATCGATCAGTTACAAAAACTTCCACAAAATGTTTTTTTAATAGCTTTTATTATTTAACTTACGAATAGAAAATACTATTTAAAAATGACGTTCACATTTATAAATGTTGGTATTATTGTTGTGTATTATCTTCCTGTTGTTGTTTCTTTACAATTAATGTATTTACCTTTAAAATGTAAAAAGAATCTGGACCCTCGCACATTTTTATGTTTTAATCTAGTTTGGGACCCAACGCTTTCAATATTTTAGATCGCTAAGGCACAAAACAGCATTTCAAAGTTTCCATTTATGCTTCGTAGATCATTGTGAGCGTCCTGTGCAATGTTTCAAATGTGATATCTAAACATGTGCTAGTTTTAGGTCAAATAAACTGTAAGAACACAAGTCAAGACAACACCGAAGTCAGGTGAAGGTGTGCACATCCCCACTAGAAAATCACTCACAATGCCTCTCCTTCTGTATCCTCAGGCCGCGACCCAAGCGCACCTGTATTGTGGACGGCAAGAAGCTGCGAATCTCTGAATATAAGGCTCTCATGAAGAACAGACGTCAAGACATTAGACGCGTGTGGTACAACGATGGGAGCAGCAACTTTCCTGAAGGTAGGGCTGGGTTCCAACTCTGAGAAATTGTTGCTATCCCTCGTAGGCTCCAGAAAGAAATAGGGAAGACAGGGAGTGTACCACCTGTTCCCTAGGCCCAGACACCTTCAGCTCCCCCTCTCCAACCCCATCACCCCCTAGTAATGTTCAGGAGACTAAGCCCGCCCACTACCTCACCACCCCACCATCACCTCACAACCCCACCATCACCTCACCACCCCACCATCACCTCACCACCCCACCATCACCACGATGTAAATACTTCTTTTCAAGCACTTATTCATGCATTTAAGACCGTCTTACGTTGGTGTCAATAGTGGTGTGGATAGCTCACCGTTCAATAAAACAATGGCAAACTATTGATCGTAAAATTGCCTATTGAAATCACAAACAGTTAAAAATACTGGGTTCGGTCCTAAAGAATATGCATCTAACCCCCCCCCCCCCCCCCCCCCCCCCCCCAATTCATTTCATACCTATTAAAAGCCATTATTTTATTTATTTCCAATTCAGAACACAATAATGATTAAAACAATAATTATCAGTGTATATGCGTGTGTGTGTGTGTTTATGATGCCACACTATCCAGCATTTTCTCTCTCTATCTCCCTCTGCCTCTTTTATCTTCCAACTTTCCCCTGTCACAATTTACTCCAGATTTCTCCCTCTCATGACATGATCAAAGAATGAAGATTGTCTCTTTCTGATGTCGGCAGTCAGTTTTCTTCTTGAATCAGTTTCCTCCAGGACATCTTTATTCGTGTGTTCTATTATGTGTCGCTATTTTCTTGGTGATTATTAATTATCGAGGATGACGCTCTTGATTTTTTTTTTTTGTTTTTTTTTTTGTGAAAGTCTCTGCTTACATAATATTAACTAAGTAAGTCTTATACTAGACATGTATTGTATAAAAGCCTCAGCGATGTCAAATGAAATTGTTCGTCCAATGTGGACTTTTAAAGAGATAACAGTTTTTTAACAGTTTCTATTTTTTTCCCTCTTTGACAACATATGACTGACATTATATCTGTTTTCTAGATGGCGATGAAGACGATAACTCGCTGTCTCCACACTTTGATTCAGCTTTCATGCATGGAGAATCTGGCTCGCCCTCGCCCAGCCCCAAGGGCAGGATCAGCTCGTCCCCATCACACGAGGCCACCAGTCCTGGCCAACAGTACAGCACAGCCAACATGAACGGCATAGACAATAATGGTCACGACAACAGCAGTGATGACAACAGCAACAACAACAAAAGCAGCAAAAACCTTGGGCCAAATTTTCTTTATGAGGATAATAAACTGTCTACGGCACATTTCCCCTTCAACCATTCTCTACAACATCAAACAAGCTCTCATGGGCCCAGGCCAAATTTCCCTTTTGTCTCATCTCATTCTTCCACAACTGTGAAAACTGAAACAGGAGTTGTCTTCCCCAAACTCGGTGCTTCCCCATACAACATGGCCAAGTCTCAAGATAACAACGACCATCACCACAGTGCAGAGTCCAACCTGGCAATAGGGGAACACGGCCTTGGCGAATCAGACAAAAAGAGGAACATCGACCCACACGGCATCAAAATGGAGTCGGTTTTTCCACGCATGTCTCAAATGGCAGAAATTCCAGGAGCATCTTCATAGTTCTATAAATGTTTTGAGGGTTTTTGTAGTGGTTTTGACAACAAATGTTTACATGACTTTTGCATAAAAATAAAATGAGGTGTCTAATGTACGTTGGTCGGTCGTCACGTGTCATACCTAAACATACCCCTTATGTAAACATGGAGATGCGGTAAACAATTTCCTTCATACTCTAAACTAGTAGTACACATTGTGTCACTTGGAGTGGCGCAGACAATGCAAGTTTACCAAACTCTACTGGGAGTGGCATACTGGGATATTCTGCCACTCAACATCAGTCAAATACAATCCTTGTTTTCCATTCCAGTATCTCTTCATTGTATGCTTGCTGTCCTATCTGTGCCCTGACAGGTGATGACATTGTACTTTTGAATCTGTCTGACGTCATAAACTTTCAACAGTTTACAATTCTGAGCTGAAATTGACTTTCAAAACCACCTGCGGACCTGAGGTTTTTTTTTAGCACAAACACTAAATTTCGGTAAATAAATAAAGCAATAATTCATTTCTGTGTCCTCATAAAATTAGTAGCACAACATGGTCCAGGAGTTACACGTTTGTTTGACATTTTACTGACAGAGTAAATTCAATGTAATGAACTGATTAGAGATTATGTTTGCCCTTGCATTATTTGAACATGGTTCATCTTGTATATGTATATCCGGCCACAGTCAGTTAAAATTAGGCTGTGTTCTTTTTTCCCCCAAACCCTGTAGTTCAGAAATCCATCTTACCATGATGAAGAACGTATAATCATCAACACAAAGCACAGCACAAGACTGACCATTTGTGATGCATTTGTGATATGTGCACTAGTGAAACAACTGTTAAAGATTGTCTGTCGCAGCTGTTTGTTTGTGATCAGCACCGGTAATTTATCATTATACGTATATCTATCACTAATGTATTTAACACTGGTTCTGCTTGTTAAAAAATAAAATTCTTGCCAAGGCAGTCCCATTTTTAAAACAAAACAAAAAAATTCAAAAAGTTAAGGACCCTTTTTGCGATTTTTGTTACATCGGACATATGTCAAGGCTGATGTGGGTAGCATAATGCCGGGCGTCTTTGCCTCCCATGTTTACATACATTTAGGTGGGGTTAACCTAAAAGAGAAGGTCGGTTATAGGAAAACGCTGATTTGTGGATTCGAACTTAAGAGCTTCGAGTCGATTTGTAAGTGCTTCCTCAGCTCAGCCATCAACTAATGACAAACCAGATTTTGACTGAACAGCAGGCCAAACGTCGGACAGTAAGGGACACAAGTCTGCCAACAGGAGGACACCAGACGTGCAGGCAGGGGGAGGTAATCTGTGATATACTGTTCTCTCGTCTGCTGACCGGCTGTTGGAATAGCCAACAGAACAACATTAGACATACAAAGCTTGGACGTCACGCTAGAGAGCATTTTACATGACAACAATAGAGTTTTGTGTAAATGTATTTTCCACAGCAACAACCCTGCTTGACAACCAAAGCGAATTTGGATTTTTTGGTAAACTCGCATATGTTGTTAAAACGTAGGCATGTATGACATGTACATATGACATGTACAGCAGGACATTGTAGTGTGGTGGTGTAAGAGAATGTAGCCATGTATGACATGTACACCAGAACATTGTAGTGTGGTGGTGTGAGGGAATGTAGCCATGTATGACATGTACACTAGGACATTGTAGTGTGGTAGTGTGAGAGAATGTAGCCATGTATGACATGTACACCATGACATTGTAGTGTGGTGGTGTGAGAAAATGTAGGCGTGTATGACATGTACACCAGGACATTGTAGTGTGGTAGTGTGAGAGAATGTAGAGATGTATGACATGTACACCAGAACATTGTAGTGTGGTGGTGTGAGGGAATGTAGCCATGAATGACATGTACACCAGGACATTGTAGTGTGGTGGTGTGAGGGAATGTAGCCATGAATGACATGTACACTGGGACATTGTAGTGTGGTGGTGTGAGGGAATGTAGCCATGAATGACATGTACACTGGGACATTGTAGTGTGGTGGTGTGAGAGAATGTAGGCATGTATGACATGTACACCAGGACATTGTAGTGTGGTGGTGTGAGAGAATGTAGAGATGTATGACATGTACACCAGGACATTGTAGTGTGGTGGTGTGAAAGAATGTAGAGATGTATGACATGTACACCAGGACATTGTAGTGTGGTGGTGTGAAAGAATGTAGAGATGTATGACATGTACACCAGGACATTGTAGTGTGGTGGTGTGAGGGAATGTAGCCATGTATGACACACACTAGGACATTGTAGTGTAGTGGTGTGAGAGAATGTAGGCATGTATGACATGTACACCAGGACATTGTAGTGTGGTGGTGTGAGAGAATGTAGGCGTGTATGACATGTACACCAGGACATTGTAGTGTTGTAGTGTGAAAGAATGTAGAGATGTATGACATGTACACCAGGACATTGTAGTGTTGTAGTGTGAAAGAATGTAGAGATGTATGACATGTACACCAGGACATTGTAGTGTGGTGGTGTGAGAGAATGTAGGCGTGTATGACATGTACACAAGGACATTGTAGTGTTGTAGTGTGAAAGAATGTAGAGATGTATTACATGTACACCAGGACATTGTAGTGTGGTGGTGTGAGAGAATGTAGCCATGAATGACATGTACACCAGGACATTGTAGTGTGGTGGTGTGAGAGAATGTATACATGTATGACATGTACACTAGGACATTGTAGTGTGGTGGTGTGAGAGAATGTAGCCTTGAATGACATGTACACAAGGACATTGTAGTGTGGTAGTGTGAGAGAATGTAGGCGTGTATGACATGTACACCAGGACATTGTAGTGTGGTTGTGTGAGAGAATGTAGGCATGTATGACATGTACACTATTACATTGTTGTGTGGTGGCTGTAAGAGAATGTAGGCATGTATGACGTGTACAGGATATGATTATATTAAAGGTTTTAGAGAATGTGCATATGTGTATATGGACACCAGGATATGATTATATTGAATGTAGCTATGTATGATATATCCGACCTGAAAAATCTGAAAGTATATTTAGCGAGGTAAATATACACAAGAGTAGGATTATACTGTAATTGTGTTTAAATGTAGATAGTATGAAATAATCACCGGGGCATGATTATATTAAAGGTGAAAATGTAGGCAGAAGGAGATAATAGCTGGGATATGATTATATTATAAGTATGTGAAAATGTAGACAATGTGAAACAAATCCCCGGGACATGATTATACTGTAATTATGTGAAAATGTAGATTATTTCCTAAAGAGACAATGTATTGACCGGCTTCATAGAAAAAAATTTATTTATGTAAAAATGCAGAGAGTGTAAAAAAATCACTGGGACATGATTATATTTAACATATGAGATAGTGTAGACATATAAGAAATATACACTGGGGCATCATTTTTATACCGAAAGAATTTGAAAAATATAGATAGTATGACATAATCACCAGGGTACGACAACATATTATGTATGTCAAAATGCGGACAGTATCAAATTATCACTGGAAGTTGATTATATTGTAAGTATGTAAGAATAAAGACAATTTATTGTAAGTATGTAAGAATAAAGACAATTTATTGTAAGTATGTAAGAATGAAGACAATTTATTGTAAGTATGTAAGAATAAAGACAGTTTATTGTAAGTATGTAAGAATGAAGACAAATTATTGTAAGTATGTAAGAATGAGGACAAGTGTGAAATATATACATGGACACTATTATATTTACTAATATCACATATGGCTTCTTACTGTTTGATTTTAATTAACTGAAAATATACTGTGTTTAAAAATGCAATGTTCAAGTCGTAGTTATATTAGCAATAATTGATTCCTTTTTAAATGTACTATTAATGCCGACTTGTTACAGTTGTGTTATGTTTAGCGTGTTACTTCTTGATCTCATAACGTGTAATATGTGTTTTATGATTTCATTAATTTCAGTACGATATTTCCCATGTGTTTTAATTCTGTTTTCCAAGTATGCGGGATCTGTTGTTTCTGATAACAAAACTAGATTGATCACAATGTATTCTTTATATTTGAAAGATCACGTCTTTGTAGTGTTTATACAGAAAGCTTTTAGTTCATACATCTATATTTACAATATAAGGTGGCTTGAGAATACATTATGCTGCCATTTTTGTAATTAGTTTGATTTCTTTTTTAGTAGCTAATGCATATGTGTCATTTTTATACGTTTTATTGTGGCTTGTAGATTTATGCAATTCAAATGGCCGATAGGCTATTTCAGCCATTTTTGTTTTTTTCAATCTGATCATGTATTCACAACAAACGCAAAGAAACACGTCAATAATATACGTGAATTGCAATGAAAGATATCCCATTTTTTTAGGCAGATGCATAACAGTGTCATATTTTGACACGAAATGTGAAAATGGACTGTAAGAAAGATAAGTTGTGAATAAACAAAGTGGTGCTTTTACACTTCACAGACACTGACATCTAAATGACATCTGAATGACAGGGAAACAACACCATATTCCACGAAAAATATACAGATTTGGTAGGAATTTTGAAGGGATTTTAATACCTCCCCCTCCCTTTCCCACCTCTAGCTCCTCTTTTGCACACCTCTCTCTCTCTCTCTCTCTCTCTTTTTCTCCCTCTTACTCTCTCACTCACTCTTGTGCTAACACTCACACATAATATACCAAAGACTAATACAGTAGACTGTCCACTGATCGATTATGATCAGCCCATCAGATAAATAACATAGAAGCCGTCCCCATGTGCGATGCAATTTTTTGTTTTTTAAAGCCCCACCCTGGTTTTTGCCGGGGGTCCTAAATATAGCCGGGCCTTATATATGGCCTAGCAGCTGAACGGGGTTTCCGGGACCTCTCCACGGGTGATCCTCATCCGTATAGTAGCACTTTGTGTCACCTGGTGTTTATCGCTTTGTGTGATGTCCTGGTGGGGTACAACTTACATACATACATATAGATAAATCACACAG